CATTTTATGAAAAGCACCAGGACCTGTTCATGAGGCTGAATTTTGTCCAGGTGCCCTTGATTCACACTGGGAGTTCAGGGTGCCCATGACTGAGTCCACTATAAACTTGTTATAATGTCATTAATGTCTCAAACGCCTTGAGAATATTTCAGGAGCCAGAACTGACCCCGGTGCCTGTGCAGAAAAAGAAATGCTTTCATTGTGTGCACAGCTATAGGCCTCCTGCTCCGGATGGGCGATGCAGAACCAGAAAGAGCAGCTTCCCTGAAATCGCACAGCCAAGTGTCAGGAAAGGAATGGGACCCTGGCTCCCCACGGCAGAACTGGCCAGACTGAAGCAGAGGAGGTAAACTGCTCCTCAAAACAGGGGACTGAGTGTGGTTGTACACTGGAAGAGCATTCCAGGAAAGGAGGTGGCAGTGTGCCTTCCATATGTACAGGGTGTGACCCTTAGGGCTGATGATGTCCCATGTTACAGTGCAACTATACAGCTTTGTTAACTTTCATGCCTATGTAAATACTGGGCATACAGATAATCCTTTGCAATTTTCCTGAGGGATTCAAATGCTTATTTACCTTTTCACTTTGCTCTACTCAGGGTGAACAAACCTGGGAAAGACAGTACTGGCAGGGTACCTCCCCTTGTTACCCTGCCTTCTCCTTCTGGCAGAGGCAGAGTCTCTGGCAGAGACAAGCACCGATTTAAGGATGAAGAGAAAAGGACCTTTAATGGTAAGAAACTGACGAAATTACTGTATGCTCTAGTGTTAGCGTGAGCCAGTCAAGACCTTGGATACCTAGTTTGATCTACTATAACGGAACAGAGCTCTGCAAGCAAACCATGTGGGGTATGACAGACAAAGGCAGCAAATGCAAAGCAAAGATACAGTCGCCATCAGCTAAGAGGATACAACAGTTTCTGCTAACACTGGTTCTGCCTTTGTTGTGCAGCCCAGAAAACAAAGTCGTGCTCTTGAGTCCTCCCTGTCCACAAGAGGATTGAGCCCGGCTCCAAGCTTTGAGTGTGTTATGTGGAGTATTTGTGAAGCTAGTAAATCTCACCATGAGTTACTCCACAATAAACCTACCTGGTCATTTGTACCCAAGTGGGGATGCTGCTCCATTTTTACAGCAGCGTATTTAGTAAGTAAAAAATAGCTCATTAAAAATAAATGTGTATCTCTTGCTAGGAAGTCTTTGGTTTAAATGCCCATTTTCAAACATTATATGTGAAAATGCTCAAGTCCTGCAGTGGGTCACTTATTAAAAACGTGACTTGAAGATCAGCCTACAAGTCATAAACAGTCGTCTCATCAAGATGTAACTATCATAATAACTTTCCTTTTCCCAGTTGGAAATACAAGATGAACTGTTCTGAAGCACCTAATGTATGACTAATGTTTATTTGTTTTACAAGAAGCTTTACAGCTGCAATGTTCCAAGAATGCTTAAATTCAATAAACAGCTATTATAATTCACTGAATGGTGGCATTTCCTCCAGAAGAAAACATAACCTATCCATTCTGATTTTTCAGAATCAGTAAAAAAACTTTCACATATATTACCCCAAAGTGAGATTTAAACAGCTCCTGCCTCCTTGGCTGTATAAACAGTACATCCAGATTCTGGTATTCTAAGTTGATGAGGCAATATTCCATACAAATTATTTTGATGCATATTTTTTACTTATGTTACAAGTGATGTTATTTGGCATGTCATACTGTATTACAACTCATGAGGCAGAGGATTTAATGGGCGTGATGGGTCCTCTGAGCAGATCTGAAATTGCTATATATAAACTACGTTATTTTACTACTGAATGACATCCCCCAAATGTATCCACATAAGTTCTCACCTGTCTTTCCCAGTTTCCCGTTTAAAAAGGTCATCAAATTGAAGCATCTTGTGGCGAGAAATCATATATGCTTTTAATTGAGGCAGTATCTGATTCATCAGCTGCAGGTTATTATACACCAAGCCTTTACCATCTCTCCTCATGTAGCTGCTAGGACCCCAGAAGATAAACACAGCACCATGGCTCATATTTAAGAGTTCATTGCGATTTCGCAAAATCCTCTGAATACTGGAGTGTGCAATGACTCGAACGCTCGTTTTGTTTCCAACATCTTTTCCATAACCTCGAGTAGGTGCATCATTCATTCGTATTACGCATTCTGTCTCGTCGATTCTGTCACCTTGTTTACTTCCCAGAAGGTGTCCAGAGCTGGTTACCAACGCACAACTCTTGCAGTGCATTTTTAAAGGCTGCAAAGACATACATACTTCAAAATTAGCTGTAAACATCTTCTCATTTACTACATGATAACTGTATTTTACATGTACATGCCATATTTTACAGCAAAAATCTTAAGAGGACTTTACATAAATCTTTCCCAGCAGTCTTCCCAAACAACTGGGGACACGTTATCTGTACATTTTGTAGATGGGGAAACTGAGGTGTAAGTGTATAGCCCTTAAAGTTCCTCTGTGGCCTTAAGCCCACTGTTTAAATCCTCCTTTTTACTGCTGCATCATATACAGTAATCACAACTGCGTCTATACTGTTCCCAGCTGTATGGGATTGTACTTCTTCCACTTGTCATAAATGAGCTAAACTGGAGTATTTTTGATTCTTCCTCTTCCAGTTTTTTTCAGGAAATAATCAATTGTAAGTCCTCTAAGTACAGGTGTGAATAGCTTTTCAACCTTGGGGTCAGAACATTTTGCTAAGGGAAGAGAGTTATACCTTGGTCCAATCCTTCCATGCCACCTCCAAGTTGGTGCCATGACCACTGCAATGCTCTTGTACCTCCTTTGTGGTTCAACAGTCAGAGGTGGTCATAAACGTCTGCATATATTTTACATGACAGTGAGTTAGTGCACTGAACTTTTTCTAGCTTGTCAGAGTGCACTGAACTTTTTCTAGCTTGTCAGGTCATGTTTAAAAGTTACACAGTAAAATGGGACAGGAGGGGCCTGTTCAGTGAGTGTCTGACCTAATGGAATCAGGAGAGTAAAACAAGCTTTCATGAAAATGAAAATGCATTATAAATCACGTTACTGAAGTATGCCACCAATATAGGTATCAGTAAGCGCATTATGTATCTGCTACTCAGCACGAGAACTAAAAAGGGGCAAAGGGTTAACAGTATCCGTAAAGTGCTTATTTCTAACAAGAATACAATAAGCTGGGAGGTAGAGACTGTTTGAAGGTATGCCTCACTGGCCCTCCATGAAACAGTACCTTGCACCATTTAAGACCAGTAACATCAAATTGCAGAACATACAGAGTGTGTATGTTACCATTTCTTTGCAAAAAAAAAAAAAAAGGCAAACAAACTGAACTGGTTGCTCACTGGTCTGAATGTCCTTGGAAGGCCATTTTGATCTACTGATCTTCTTCCCTAAGGTTGTCTATCAGAATTTCATGTTCATCACTAGCCATAAAGAATGGCATTCCAGTATCTTCCTGGTAAGTAACAGGCTTGTTTAATTCCAGAGGCTCCAAATCAGACACACACCATGCTGAGGGCAGTCTTCTCCTGCATTGTGCCACTGGCCTGATCTTGTAGTACACTGAGGAGGTGACAGCATTCACTGGCTCTGAAGAGCACTAGCAACCTAAACCCATCTTTGACAGCGAGGGCCTCAGCACCTCGAGATCAAACCCCGTGACTCTCCGTGGCAGCTCATTGTTCATGCCATTACAAACACAGCCAGCATGTCTCCAGGTGTAAACTTCATGGGTTTACTAGCAAGGAGGAGAAGTTATGATGGCATATAATTACACTTAGTATTAACTACATGTATATAGGAATCAAAGGACTAAATCGGCATGCTGTGAGGCACAGCTTAAAACTCCAAAGCTGAAAAGAAGACATAACCCAGGTTTGAGATAATCTGAAGCCCCTGTTTGAAAATGTTTTTGCCCCTAGCATTTGAAGGGGGTGTTTTACTTGAGTAAGTTGTTTTTAATTTTGAAGGTAGTAAGTGGTTGCAGTCTGAGCTTTTTTTCTATAAGAATAGCTAATGAATTATGAAGTGCTTTTTAATTAAAGACAAAATAACTAAACTGTAAAATTTGCATAATGATACAACCAGTAAGCTTTGGATCTCCAGCTTCTCCAAACAACAAAGTCCCTTTTCTTTCACATATATGGATTGTAATCCAGAGCTAATGATATGGGTAGAAATGTTCATGCCTTTGTGAGCCAAGGTTCCTAATGCAGTATTTACATGCATTTTCCTTTAAGCTTTCATCTGCCACTTTGATGAATTACCTAGCAAAAGGCTCTAAGGTGAACTAGCTGCTCCACCATCATGCTTGGGAAAGCAAGATGAAGTGCTAATGAGGTTAAAGGAAATGTAGTCAGCACCAATGTTAACTCACACGGGTTTGAATATCCACATAGCAAGACATTTTCACCTAAACAATCTCGGCTGGTTTCTGGCCTACTGAGCTACAACCTACTTGTTTCTTTTAAAAGTCTGCCAGAGAATCCATCAATTGTTAGGAAACAAGGGTGACCATCAGTGGAGCTGTGGAAACTTGGCAAGGGGGGGGCGAGGGAGGGGATGCCAACATTTGCTAGATTATAAACATTAACACACCCCCCAAAACATCTGTCCCAGATCTTGTTTGAAAACTGCTCCTTTTGGGAAAAAGTCTTTAGAATGAAACATTCAGGTATTGCCCAGCTACTTCTTGAATGATGCATGGGGGCTCAGCCTGTGTAGCTGCTCCAGGCAAGTCATTTTCACTCACCTCACTCAGATTCTTTCAGTCGAAATCTACAAAACTTGAACCTGAAAATTGTCAGAGGAATTCACAGCCAACAGCTACAACATTCTGGTACCAGCTGTTTATAATGCTTTGACAATATTGAAAGCAAGGGGGAAAAAAGCTATTGGCTGTAATATCATCTCATTGGGAAGCAGCGGTTGCACCAGAAATGTCATCTACTTAAGCAATAATAATGGAGGCACAAGGCAGTTCTTTGGGATTGATGACCAGCTGGGAAAAGTTGATGGCCTGAGAATAACCAGGGGCCATTAAGCCAGAAGAACATTAACTCCACAGAAAGCTCTGTGTTACAGTAATTATTACAGTGATATTTGTTGGGGGGTAAAAAAAAGGCAAACCAAAAAAAAGCAAACCCATGATATATGAGTTATATTTTAGGTAGGAGGCAATGCAACCTTTACTTCATAAGCCTTGTTTCAAAATGCCCAGAAAAGGGATAGGGTGAGAGGTTTTATGGCATCTGTGTTAATTATCTTGCAATGTAACATACCATGCATGTAAAAGCCATTGACATTTAATGATACCCATTGTCAGTAAGCAGCTACAGTTTCACGTGTACGTGAATTACACTTACAGCACCTTGCACAACATGGCAGAGCACGTGGCTACTTCTACAACACAAATCAGTCATATCAATACTCAGGGCACCTGGACAGTGAACAAGCCAAGTATCAGCCAAATAAATTGACCAAATTACCTCTAGTTCCAGTCACCTAAAAATGTGTATGGGGAGAGAGAGAGAGAGTCTATTACAGGCCACCTGATCAGGATGGGGAAGTTGATGAGGCCTTCTACAGACAGGTAAGAATCGCCTCACAGTCACAGGCCTTGATTCTCATGGGGGACTTCAACTACCCTGGTATCTGCTGGGAAGGCCACACAGCCGGGCATGTACAGTCCAGGAGGTTCCTCCAGTCCAGTGCACTGATGATAACTTTTTGACTCAGGTGATGGAGGAGCCCTGAAGGAGAGGTGTACTACTGGACCTAGTACTGACAAACAAAGAGGGACTGGTGGAGGATGTTAAGGCTGGGGGCAGACTGGGCTGCAGTGATCATGAGAAGATAGAATTCAGGATTACGTGCAGTATAGACAAAATGACAAGTAGGGTTGAAACCTTAAACTTCAGGAGGACTAACTTTGATCGCTGCAAGGAAGTGCTTGGACAAATTAGATTAGGTAGTGTAGCACTGGCACAGGCTGCCCAGAGAGGTTGTGGAGTCTCCCACTCTGGAGACATTCAAAACCCGCCTGGACGCCGTCCTGTGCAACCTGTTGTAGGTGACCCTGCTCTGGCGGTGGGGGTTGGACTAGATGATGTCCAGAGGTCCCTTCCAACCCTGACCATTCTGTGATTCTGTGAAAAGGTTACAACAGAGCAAGCTCACAGTGATAGAACCCCAGAAGCTGGAAAAATCAACTGGTGCTTTTCCGGGATAGATGGACTATCCCAAGGGAATGAAGGGAACAGGTGAACCTTGCTAGGTTCTGATAAACCCCATCATGGCACCTCAGTGGCCCTACCAAATGAGTGCAACCTTGCACTGCTGTAAGTAGCATGGGCCAAACTGACTCCTGGCAATGTGCACTTACACAGATTATAGCCCAGTAAGTACTGTTGCTATATCATTCTGATCATTCATCATGTTGCTATATCGTTCTTATTTGTTTAATACCAACAAACAGAAACAAAAAACAATGCCACAGTTGTTTCTGTATTTTCCAATTTGAAGCAATCTGCTCTATTATTGACTTTAAAATCTATGTTGTCCAATGATGGAAAAATGTTATTTTCAGACTCTTTATTGCTCAAAAAAAATCAATGGAAAAAATGTTACTCCTGATTCAAAATATGTTACTTTTAGGTATGATTATTTTATTTGTGATGAAATCAAATGATCAAATTTTTTGGCTTATAAAAGTCTTTTGATTTTAAAGCCATGATTAGAAAACAAGATAATCCCCTCCAGTAAAATCAGGAATGCTGGAAAACCCACTTTTTCCTAAACTGAGTACTTAATGACCTACTTTCAAGACCCCTGGGTTCAGGTCACTCCATTATCAGTAGTATAAAGGCTTCCCTTCTATAATAAAAAATAGAGTATTTTATCTTGGCAATGATGACCTGACCAACCAAAAAAACCCCAAAACTTCTGGCGCGAAGAACAGCTCATTACTGATTTCAGCAGAAAAAGACCACCTGTTAGTTCATCAACACCAGCATTCCTCATAGATACATCTGGAAATATTACAGATGACTTCAAAGTGTACTGGGAGAGAGCAAGAGAGACCAAGAAAGGTTTAAGAATATCCAAATTCCTTTTGGATGAATGACCTTTAACTAAGGTCATTGTGACTGCACGTGTAAAATATCAATAAGGTACTTGACAGCTATGTTTTTTCTCCTTCACTGCAACACCTCTACAGCATTTTGTTAGGCAGTGCCAGCATGCTTGTCTTCTGTCTGACCTGGAATGAAAAGCTATAGGGCTTCTTCACT